CCAACAAACGCCTCATTCTTGATGAATGGATCTGCTATACGCCTGCAGGGGCAAGTTTGAATTGAAACTCGGGGGACGGCTATGATCGTTTGATGAAAACCGGCTGCCTCGCCGGAAATGACTCGAAGACCGTCAAATGGATTCATTCTGCAAATATATTCTGTGTGTCAGCCCACACGCACGAAGTTTGGAGCTTATCGTCTTTCTCAGTAGCACTTTGTGCGATGCGGACACGTGTGAAAAAGGTATGTCGATCTTAGTTACGCTTTGAAGAGTTAGATACTTTTGGTGCAATAGCTACTCGTCAACGTGGGGGCTCGGGGGCTGTTCACTGTTTCGCACTGTTTTATAAATACAAGTTAAGTGCGGTACCCATCTTGTTTGGGAGGGTATTACGAGATTCGCGCTGTATTTTAATGAACGTACATCTTACACTATTGATATGACAACGTCGAGATAAGCTCAAAAGTACCAAAATGTAGTAGTATAATGAACTATCATGACTATATACTTTTCGTGGGTCTACAAATTTGTAACAAAACCCTGCTCTCACAACCCACTCAGACACGAGGTGTTGGGTTGACATCTCAATAGCCCTATAGCTAAATCATTAACTGCTCAAGATCAGCGATCAGGTTCTGAGTTTCTTGTGCAGAAAAACCAATCGACTCAATTGTGCAGCTCCGCGCGAACGTCCAAAGGACCATTTCAGTGCGTTTGAAACTCATCGATTCTCGCAAACATTTGACGTGCCACTTAATCAAAAACGCGCGTGTGGTGGCGAGATGCAATTGCCATCAGCCGGCTCTAATTAATGAGCAAGGTTATGCTAACGTACGTATAAAAAAGACTGTGGGTCAGCGAGCTCACAATGGCTATTAATCTGATTGCAAGAGCTATGGAAAGTTTTGTAATGCTACTTCGACAAAATTTTTTGGTGTTGTTGACATTTACGAGCTGGTGCGATCTTTGTCTTTTTTCTAGAGTCGAAAAGTGCATGACGCTTTCCACTGTCGAGAAGTATAGGCCTTATTCAAGCTAGAGAGTCGGTCAGTTTCTGCAGCAGCAGGCGCGTGGGCATAGGCAAGACGGTAAACAGTGCAGGCTAAATTGCCCGCTCTGACGTCAACATCGCGATTTGTATTCACAAAGTCATGTGTTAAGCAATATTCATGTCTGAGGTCATTTTCATTTACTCTGGCTTGTAAAGCGTGAATTGTACAAGGCGACGAGATTTTTCGTAGCGACGCTCGAATTGCCTCATGTACTTTTGCCAAAGCATACTATCATAGGTGTAGTCGTCATGGTAGGTACGCTTTGTTGTCGCTGCTATTCAGCCTACATCGAGAACTTGAACTCTTCTCTTCTCTTGCGTGGCGGGAACCACTGAAAGGTCTGAAAGAAGTCTCGAAGATACTCTCGAGTGCACGTTTTACACACCAATGGCTTTAGTCTTATTTGGCCTCCTTTTAGTCGCTGTTACTTTTGTGCTTGTAGAGAATTATTGTGGCTCATCGAGCCATACGCTTGATTGGGCATCTGCGATGACTCTTTAGTTAAATTGGCCGTCGTAATTGAACCTGATGCGAAATCAAATTTGTGGTATTCCCCCTGGTAAATCTATAATCGTGTAGCCAAAACTATTTTACTAAATTATTGGACCATAACGAGTTTTAAGACAGCATAACCAGCTTTTATTTGCGCAGTTATTTTTATCTTGGGACAAGTGTTTTTGGGTGAAAGTGATGCTGACTGCACTTGAAAAACGGATCTGACATCAACTAGCAAACTACAATGCTTATCTTAGTTGTAACCCGTCCTTTTCTGCAGATCCGCAATAATTGATTCAAAAACAATTGGACCTCTTTTCTCATCATCTCCGAGCTGATGTTCGTTTCCATTGGAAGGTGCTAGGGAATGACTTATCAAATTAGATAGTGGCATCGTTACAATACGTAAAATTCAGCTGGGTGATGTAGATCATGTTGATGGAAAGTGCACGCAAAAGCTAAAACCCATTGTTTCCTCCATAGCATTTGCATATACCGTCGTACGTTTAGCGGAAGCGCAAATCGCCGCGGTCAATGCAAGTGATCGCACGAGAGCCCATATGCACACCGTCGGCTCGCAATTTTTTCCTCCGAGACTTCCTTTTGTGTCACATCGCAAAAAGATCTTTGCTGCATATCAGCGGCATCTCCCGCATGCATGGCCTTAGGCGCCAAAAATGTGCGCTAAGAAGTACATAGTCATACCGCGGTCAATCAGAAAGCTATGCTGTCACCTTTGGCGGCAGAATTTTTTTTCACGTTCGACAGCATCATGTTCACATGACAGGTGGCTTTGTGCGTATTTAGACCATGCTCTTTGCGTACTGATGTTGTTTATCACATAGAAAAGGGGACTAGAAGAGGACATCCTTTTTATTTAAGTCGAAGTGCGCAAAATTGAAGATTTGCTTTGGACGCTAAATGTTTTCTACTAATAAAAGTAACTCAAGCTGTGTATCTCGTTCGAGTCTACGGCAAGTCAAATCGTAATACGTAATTTGTCCTGATTGAAACCACGGCTGCCTTCCCAAAAGCGGGCAGCACTTCATCTTTTTCCTTAATCCTTCGTTGTTTATGAAATGCATTCGTGCAAGTGCCGCTCCTACAGCTGGAGAGCTATTCAGAAGATAGCGGTTATCTGCTACATGACGTTTGCTCAGCCTAGGAAATTGCGTCGCTAGATTTGGGTGTTATTCAGCCTAGGTCTCGGCAACCTCGGGATAGAACAGACAGCTTCTCTTTTCATGGGAGAAATCATTGCGACGGAATTCGCAACGAAGTGCCGTACAGCCAACACATTGAAAGCGTAAATTGCCCGAGTCAAGAAGACCATTGCACAGATGACGGGCTCGCATAACGTCCGTTGGACTTCGACTAAATAGGCTATACAGTACTTTATAGTTTACGCTTGCTCGGATTAGTTTGTTATGTTCAGTTGATAAAAGCTTCAAGCGATACAGTATAACGTTTTACTATATTCAATGCATAGCGTGAGGCTAAAAACCCAATTGCCTCACGAACCCCTCCTTTTCGGGGTAGCACTACTTCCATCCCGTACCAATCATGCTGCTTTATCTTGGTACCTAAATGTGGCAAATCCAAACATCCATTTCAGTCCAAGGGACACCGGTTCAATGCGATAAAATTTACATACCCCGTTACATCCTCCTGCACAAAAACGGGAGCCCACACGGTTTAAAAACGAATATCAGGCAGCGTACTCTGGGAAAGCTCAACGAGCACTCATACCGCACTGGAGCTTCCCCTTGAGCCGTTCAGCTAAGTTCGTGGCTCGACATAAAAGGTTACGGTCCCTGTGTTCAGCTTCATGGAAGCCTTGTCCGTTAGGCAAGAAGTAGTTTTCTTAGACCAATCTAGTCAAATATGTCTTATCAAGGTATACCTTCATCGAAGATTGCATTGTCATGTCAACCCCTGTCCGCGAGATCATCTCCGAGGCTTGTATACTTTAAACTTTCGCCTCATAGCTGCATTTTTACTCGCATGGTTTCCGTTATCGTAACAGTGGACTCACAAGAAATATTTTTTATAAGCCGGATCGAGTTGTCGTCCATGTTCCGTCTATGCCTTTGGTGCTATGGTCGGGCGAGCATGTTGAGGTGTACGCTGGGTGGGAAAAGCTTGACCAGTACTCAGTGGATTACGTGCTACTCCATGTACGTCATTGGGACCTCGCCCTCGCGTCGACATGAACAATTTGCGGCTCACAGTGAGTTTCGGTGAAGTATGACTAACCAGACTTTAACAACACTTAATACTGACTTTGCAAAGTACGAAGCGCAACAATGACGTCAAAGTGGGCCCCTGTGTATGCTCAAAATACACATGGGCAAACGCGACCACCAAAGCTCAACTTGGAACAAGTCCGGGCCTTCACCCACTAGTAGAAAACGCGGCAAGCTGCGCGGGTTTGTCTTTTAGTTAACGATGGAGAGGAGGAGTATTAAACACCATCGACGCCTGATAAATCGTGCCGATGTGAGACGACAAACTTACAAGAGCTCTCGGAGTGAAGAAATCTTCTCATTTCACCATGTATAGGCTGTAGCCTAGGTAAACCAGTCGGTTTACAAACCATTTTGTTTGGAATTTGGTCTCACCTTTTCATCGTTATTTGCAGTAGAAGCGGTGATGCGTTTTCAAATCGTTTGCACAGCCTTCACACAATTAATTTGATTGGTGCAGCTCCACAAGCGCTTTTGAAAGATGACCCAAGTCCGCATTGAACACACGACAACATTTACGAGTTGAGCCAACACGCATCCCGAAAGATCCCGATAGTTATTTAGTTAAGATCTACTTCCGAGGAGTGAATATCTTAGATGTAAGAACGTTGTTTAGGCAATTAGTTTCTAGAACATAACGCTCCCGCCCGAGTGGTCCGTGGAAGCGGGGTTGAAAAATGACTTTAGTAAGCTCTAATTATGTTTGTAGTTTCTCGGAGATATATCTTTGTGTTTCCGACTGTAACCGGCCAGCGCAGCGAGGCGCGACTTCATAGAAATGACTGCAGACACGTAATTAACAACTTTTTATATAAATTCTATCATTCAGGCCAAATTTATATGCGATTCGTCTTTTTAAGCGCCTGCACTTTTCTGCTGTGTATTCCAATTTCAGCGATAGCGTCACGCTCTCGGTGCATGACCCGAAATCAATCCAGTCAAATTCGACTGATATAACGAAGTGTCGTCTAGCTGATATTAGCAAGCTGATAAATTTCAACAACCGGTCTTCCTAACTAAGACTGTAGCAACTCAATGGGTAATTATCGGGTCATATGTAATGAAAACGTTTAAAATAAATGTTATACTATTGGAGAAGCGTTAAGGGCGTTACCCTACCCGGATCCAATGAAACAGATTATGCCGCCCTAGATTTGCAGCCGCTTCGCGCATATCATCCGAAAATGTTTGCCACCAACTATCACAGGTCTGGGAATGGTTTGCTTAGATCATGTCTAAGTCGATGCTAAGCACATTAAGCAAAATTCTTCAGACTGTTTAGTGTGAATCGCGGGCCTCAATCAAAGACAATTACCACAGGAGAGTCATGTTGGCAAAACGCCTGGTGCATTCTTGAATTTAACAATTTTGGTGCAGTGAGATGGGCCGTTTTGCGCCGACGCTAAACATTAAAATGATAGCAAAAGTGCTCTTGAAGCCCTAGAATTATCTCGATACTAATGAGCTAAAAACACTTTGTTGGAGCTAGCAGGCTGGCCAAGAACGAGAGTTTTACCCATGGCATATACCACGCAAGGGTCGTTCGCGCCGACGCTAAACATTTAGGTAATAGCAAAAGTGATTTCGAAGCCCCAAAATAATTTCGGTAATAATGAACTAAAAGCACTTTGTCGGAATTGGCAGGCTGGCCAAGAACGAGAGTTTCCCCATGGCATCTATCACGCAAATGTCTTTCGAGCGATGTGTCGCATACTTCATATATAGTTCTTCTTATCACAAGGAATCATCACACGCTGTGTGCCTACCGAGTCTGTGCTGTAGTATAGCAAGACTTGGGAAGACGAATTGCGGCGAAACGTGCTTACGACGTCCGAGATTAAAAAACCTTGCTTTACAAAGCTTTCGCCAGCGCAAAATTTGTTGCACGTCGGAAGTAAAGTCGATGTGCGATATTTCGGAATCTGGGCGACGCGAGCGCGCATTCTATCGCGTTAAGCTAATAAATAATTTCTAACCTCGCAGGTATACCCAAAAAGAATGATAGTCGATTTGCTTTCTGTTAGAGAGATGAGAAAACGTTGGCACTGTGCGAAATGACTGATGAGCTGTATAAATCACAGATATCTTTGTGCGAAGTAGGTGTATCATGAACACGATAAGAACGTCCTTCATAGCAAGCAGGAGTTTATACCATGGACCGGATCTTACTTTGCTGAAACTTGATGCCGATATCGATGGCCAGATTAAAATTTTCCGTCCTATAATCCAACATGTCGTCAAAAACAGCTTATTCATAAGCGCGGTGAGACACAAAAACCGCATAACTAGACCATTAAGAGTTGCTGGTGCGTAAGACATCTCTTAGGGCCACTGTTAGATCATCTTGCTAAAATTAATAATTATACCGAGAAGGATATCTCTGGTTATCATGATTGGTATCCCAATGCGTCGACCAAATTGCTAGCGCGGTACAGAGTACAAATGAAGATGCAGTTTTTCACGATAATCTCTCAAAAAATGACGTTTACGTTGGAATGGTGGATGCATCTATATCGTTGAACGCTTGCATAAGTTGCGACCTGCCGCTTGACTTTCTGATGCAGAACGTTGGCGCCAAGTGGATACATTCAATCGTCCTTACCAAACCCGCTTTGAGCTTCGGACGAGAAAAAGCGTAAAGTGAGGGCCTATCACATGTACACTACATTTGATTCGGAGATTCAGATCGGTTTTCATGATAAACTCGCAAATCTGAGGACAATGTTTTGCTCTCACAGGTAATAGATTTTCACGACTCGGTGATTGGATTTACTACAAGTTTAAAAAAGTACATGGGGTTTACCCAGCACTTCGTACAGAGATATTCCCCCGCATTAACAACACGATAGGTTAGATCCGTATTTTTGCTTAGGAGCGTATTTGACAGCTTCGAAAATAAGTAAGTCTAAGACCTGCTCTTATTTGATAACATGAAGGACAAGAATTCAAATTCAAGTGTGTTCAAACAAGTACTAAATACAACTGTTTACATTCTTTGATGTTGAAATTTATGTACTGCATGATGTGAGGCTGACAGCCCACGAACCTCTAACTTGCGGAGTGCCATCCCTCATCAGTACCAGAATTTTGGTATATACTAGATGTGCGAAATGCACAAAGCGTAAGGTGCACATACACAATAGACAGTGCATATCTTTTTTCAGCCCCCCCCCCACGAGATGTGAACTACAACGTGGTCCTCGCTTGATTTGTCTCTTTAAACATTGCACCAAAATGAATGCCCAGCGATCCCCCATTGCTTGAAGTTTCGCCCAACTCTTTGCACCCTATGCTACTTTCTCTTACAAGCATAGATCTGTCCCGTACTTAGATCAGCTGGCCGTTAAAAAAGTTGGTGTTTTCCTGCCGACAACCTTGAGATCATTCTTGGTGAGGATACTGAGTTAAATAACGAGGAGAACAGTTGTACCTTCGCCCTAACTGAGAGACATACGGCAGCATTGTGAGATGAGGAAGAATTTCTCTACGTCTCGCCCCTTTCGTGCACTAAAGAACCACTTTGTACGCCTTCCTTCTGGCGTAACATTTCCGACAACCCATCACGGCAGCGTCCGACTCGTCACCGATGAGCCGGACCTGGCTCAGCAAGCGAAGACTTTCCGTCTGTAAGCGCAAGTGTTGCAACGACTTTTGCTGACGTGTTTGGTTCTGCTGTTCAAGCAGAGAGCCCAAACGTTAACAACCCTCACGACTGCCACCAGACCTTAGAGCAGTAACAGCCGGCAAATTGTTACTCCTCACGCGGGCTGTACCTTGAGTATTGAATGCTGCCAAAAGTGCCGAGGAAAATCAAACGAATTTCGCACACTGGGTGAGGAAGACGCGTCGTCGCCTCCATATCACAGCTCTTGAAATTAGCTTAAGTGAGGCAGACACCCGACAAGAGCGTCATATGCTGCTTGCCTTTGCAAACTTCATATCACTACGTGGATGGCAAAACTGAAATCCATCAACTTAGTTTCTGCTTTCATCAACCCCACTCATTCCACGAGACGGCTGCAATATTTACCTACCGGGTCCCGAATTTCAGACAAGGTCAGGCCTTATTCGCTCGTGGGGAGCGTCGTAGATGAGCAACCCATATAGGGTCATGGAGAATGAGAGTGCACTATAGCCTGTTCCACAGTTGGCTCTCTTTAACTATCATACGTATGGTGGTACGGCGAAACTCTTCGATTATTATGGCGTGTGGCCCTTACTGAAATGAGCCATTTCTCAAGTGCGCTCTCTGAACTACGCCCTTGCTCTGAAAAGCTTGGACTGCCTTCCTCTGTTCAGACAAAAGGCGCTACACAGGCAGCGGGGAGCTCAGCTACAAATATAGCTGAAGCGTTTACTCTTTGTTTATAGAGCGTTTATATTCGTTTGATCTGTCAGAGCGGGATCATAGTCTGGCTTTATCGACAACACGCTGAACATAACATATACAATTGTATTTGATATTGAGCGTGAAGTCTTTTCCACATCGGTACCGGCCCGATGTAGCTAGGTCGTACATTAGTTACAACGATCGCAGAGCCTGGACGTGTACGTAGGCAAAACGTGGCATCCACACACCGCATTTGCATATTCCGCCTGCCCTTAGCATCTGCATGTTGCTTTGCAAACTTAGAATCTCAGCCATAGCGTTGGGCACTTGGTGCATGAACCTTAAACTCCTCTATAAGATTATCGTTTCGCTACGAAGTAGTATCAGGAACTCGAGACGTATCGACAGCCTTTCCTCCATCCAGTCAGGAAACACCTCATGGCGGTGTCATACGACTACGGGTGCTAGCCAAACCATTCATAAAAATGATTTTTTTTGTTGAGGCATGTACAACAGCGTGAAATTACGCAAAGTACAAGAGTGTGAGCAATTTGCTACCTCAACATGTCTATCTGTGCAAGTGCTTCGGAAGGTTTTCGTTGCCGTGCAAATAATAAGTCATGTTCGACTGTTTGTATATGAATGCTCAGGGATAGACATAATGAACTAGGTACCTGGTACCTTAAGCAAACGGTGACCAAAACCTAGCTGTAGAGCGCGGGTCATGATCCAATACAATAACCGCCGGCAATCCATGTTAGCGAAATTTTTCGTTGCAAAACAGCCTGGCTATACCCTCACCGGACAAGAGCTTGGCACTTCGAGTGGGGTGAAAGAGCAAGATGAGATTTTATGTTTAGACAGCTCACAAAGACCACAATACAGATATTCCCGAGCGCATCTTTTGGAAAAATAAATAAAGACAGTTATTTATGGACTGCCAACACCGGTAGCCTGGTTAAGGGCATCGTTTGATGCGGTGACAGCCCCATTCTTTGTCGATTATACATTTTAAGTATAAATGAAGCTGGATCCAACCACTTAGCAACATCTTAACTAATCAGCTCGGACATTCTCATGTCCTCCGTTGAAACTTTCGAAGATTCTTGCTCGCGCCAAAAGCAATTTTTCCAAGCCGAGGTGGAATCCTTACTTTTTGACTTTCAGTTGACTCGAGTCTCATGGCGCTAAATCCTCAAGTGTTTGAGACCCAAGATACCTAGAAGGAGATCACATTCGATTTCAGATCCCGCACGGAATATGATATCACATTCAGAATTTTTCAGAAAGGATCAACAGAATATTTAACGTGTAGTCGTCGCAATACGGAAAAATATTGATTTCGTATCTTGTATCGTCAATGCCTCTTGTACCCTCTTTTGTTTATGACAGAAACGCATCGCTAGAAATAGCACGACACTCCTATGACGTATCATCGATTTACAAATCTCAAACCTTAACGTTGACAATCAACAATATTGGCGTGAAGCGTGAGCATAATTGCCAGACTCCCCGGAGTCGATCGGAATCTTTCATGGCTTCTCAAAGCCCTACACGGTCGCTTCCACGACCAGCAAGCCCGGTTTGCATACACTTTCCGTGTTCAAGATCAAGAGGCTCTTCGGGGCTGGGCCCTGCCGACCTCTACTTAAACCCCTCTTCTTTGTGGCGTTCGTTGCCTCCAGCGCTTGCCTCATCACCCCCTTTCCGTTTTTAAGCGCTGACACGAGCTCAGGTTAGCCATGTGACGTCTCTAAGCGCTCCATACGCTCCGCTAGACCAGCTGTTTATTTTCACACCGTATGTGCGCGTGTCTTCACTTCCTACTTGACTCCTTTATATTATTGCTGTTGGCTGTCTGCCAGCACTTCCTTGAAATTTCTCCTCGACAATAGCAGATGCCGATAAGCTCATAACAGATGTATTTGATAAATCACAGCGGTGTGATAAGGAAGAAATAGATCACAGTGTAAAAGCTTTACCAATGAATTATCGATGTTGCTTGGACTTGAAAGGGAATTGGCGTTGCTGCCAGACAGCATCATCTTGTTACGATATTCTTAACGGCGCTTTCTGATTCGTCTTCACGCTGGATCTTGTCACATTTTTGCTTTACGACATCGCTTAGGCGGCGGGCAAGTACCCACACTCGAGCTGTTCGGGTCGGGCAGACTATCTTCGCAACGGGGTTGCCGTTCACTCTGCTCGTCGAGTATCCGTTAACAAATGCACAGATCTTTGGTTTGGTCCACGCTGGAGCGAAATCGAGACCATCTCAGGTAAGGATGTCTTTAGTCTGCTTTGCTTGTTTTGTACCTGTGGATATCCACAATTACACAAACGCGCAATGTGAATTCTACGAAAAATCACTTTGCACAGGTTTTTATAAGTGTCAGGTGCATGTACTCAATGATACAGTACTGACCCTGTATAATTCTATCTGCATTCGCGAAGCCTATAGCATACTACTAAGCTTCTGAGTAGAAGCCGTGGAAGATGACTGGAATGTTAGTTAGTGTAGCTGATAGTATGTGTGTCCACAAGTCAGTCTCACCTTTTAAGCTTTTAGAATCAGATTGAGAATTCCCTTACCTCGCTTTAGCACCTTGAGCGTAATGCAAAAAGAGCATCACTTCTGGTGTTATACAGATGACATATCCAGCAGTACAAATTCTTACATTATTTTTCCAGCTAGATGATTCAACATATTAATGTATGAAGTAGAGTAACTTTAGGTGCTTAAGCAACGTTTTGCAGCAGTGATTAGGTGATATTCTTTTTTCATACAACACGTCCATGTTACTCTGAGACATGCGCTGGGTTGTCAAGGATGCGTGTCGGCAGAAAGACATGTGGGAAGGAAGTCCAGAAGGGACTATCAACCTTTTCGTTAGCATACTCGTGTTTGAAGGTTTGAAAGTATTCACACTCGACTATCATTCTAATCACAGCGACAGGCTTGGTACACTGCGTCGTATGAAGCACGAAAGCAAACACAAAACTGGGTTTCATTATGGTAAATTCCGGAATATTTATTTATCCACTCAACTATATGAAAATGTGTTCTTGGGTGAAGGATGTGTATGTTACACCGTTCCTCCAACCTACGCATGTCTTATGCATCCCGTTTTGGTATCTAGACGGAGATCTTGCATGCCATCGCTTCGGGTTCGTCGTTCATGTAACACTTGAACAACGCCGAAAGGTCACTCGCGAAATCTTTCTATAGATTTTCTCTTAATGCGTAGCAGTCATTCTCGGATCGCCAACAAGTTACGCGCAACATATAAGTCTCCTGCTATGGTCAAGGTGTCGTCGCTTCTGATGCTTCCCGTGCTGGCAATAGCCCAACAACAGGCCACCAGCAACGACGTGTTAATCACGATGCCTGTAACTATTGACGGCACGCTGAAAAATCTGCAGCTGCTCAAGGGTGAAAGCTTTGAAGATGCCGCCATATCCTTCGCACGCTCTAATGGACTCATGGCAGCCACAGACGATGCCCAGATTCGCGCTGTCATTGATCAGCTGTCAGGTTTGCTAAAGGACAAGTTGCACGATATGGAGACGGAGGAGCAGCTTCTGTCGCAGCCCAGCGAGCCCATGCCCACGGTACAGCTCTCTGTGCCGATCACTATTGACGACTACTCGGGAAACCTTTTTAAATACGAAACAGATACTCCTGAAGCTGCTGTGGAAAGATTTCTCGGTACCAGTGGCTTCAATTTGGATGTCATGGAAAAAGTGTACCCCCAGTTACTATCGCTAGTTAAACAGAAGTTAGAGGAATTGCAGCTTTCGAAAAAGGAGCTATTTTCCTTAAAGTTATTGCTGGATGGCAGAGAGATAATAGTTCGACATTTTGAAGACGGAATTCCAATTAATGAGGCAATGGATACGTTGCGAGGTATTGGAGTTGACGACGGAGAATATATGGACAAAGTTGCACCACAGATTGCGAGTCAGATTGTCAATGAGATACACAGAAAGCAATCAATCACTGATGCTACAGAGCAGCAGGTTGAAAAGCAAGTGATCCCAGAGCAGTTATTGCAAAGACGGGAGTTGTTTTCGGAGCAAATGACACTAAATAACCAGCCAGTAGTATTGGTTCACTATGATGGAGATACTGCTCAAGAGACAGCAGTGCGCTTTTTGAGTGAGAATGGTATTACGGATGATGCAAAAGCCGAATCAATGATGGCGCAGCTTGTTGGCATCATTGACAGTCGATTAGCAGAGTTGTTAAGCAAAGAGACGCATGCACTCGCACGACCATCTGCTCAAGCTCAAGCCGAACAAAACATTCAAGCTTCTGCTAAGCAGCAATCCGAGCTACTAGTGACAATACCAATTAGCCTTGATGAGCAGCATCAAGCTGAACTGAACTACTTTAAAGGCGAAGATATTGAAACGACAGTGCAGCAATTTCTCGTTGATGTGGGCCTGGGTAAGAGCGAGAAATTCAGCGATAATGTTATACAACTATCGGCTTTGTTGCGTGAGCGAGTCGCTTCTTTGCCGATACATGAGACTACATATTTACCTCATGCAACCCTTACTGAGGCTCTTTTTTCTATTCCTGTCTCTCTTAGTGGGATTGTTTACCACCTTGACTATTATGAAAATGAGGATCCACACTATGCTGCGAACTCATTCTGTATGGAAAAGCTAGAGATTGTGCGAGAGAAGTTAGGCAAAGAATTTCGTGATGATCAATTGTTATCATGTCAAAATGTGCTAGCTCGGTCAATCCTGGACACCTTGGAGGAGCGGCAGACGCAGGAGCAACAGCAACAGCAACAGCAACAGCCAGAAGAGCTCGGTGGTAAATCACCTACCAAATCTGAGACTTTACAAACTGAGTTCGAAAGCGTCGCGAACGATGTAGCAGATTCTCAAGATCTGCTTCTCTTCACACTTGACATTGACATGGGAGATGGCACATCGATCAAACTACCAGTGCACCGCAACGACAAACCCCAGGAGCTTGCGTCTGCATTCTGCACAGAACACAAGCTTGACCAGGAAAACGTACCCGCGCTTGTGGAAGCAATGGAACTGCAAATGAACGATCTGTAACTCGAGTTCGCGTTTCTAAGAATCTAGCAACGCCGTCTTCTGCTTCTTCGTGACATTCTCTTGTTGAATTTTAAACTTTTACAAATTCGCAACCACCACTACTGTTAACACAGCATCTTACGTCACTTAACTTTAAATATTCCATTTAAAACGTAATGAGACAATGCAAGTATCTCATTCTTAAAAAGCGAATATTTTTCACATCGCCAGCTCGTCATTTGTGTTCAGTTCACTCATGGCAAGCCGATTTTGCTGTCGCCGCGTTAAAATGCCCGTCACCCACTTGTTCCTTTTGTTCTCTTCATCCATCTCGGGCTTTTTAGAAATGGCATCCTTCCAATTATCGGAATTGGATCGGGCCTGTGCAGTACTAGTTTGTTGGTGGCGCCACACCAAACACTCGATGCAATATTCTTGAATACAGTACCAAGGCAAATCCATCATGTCAAACGCACTCGAGTCGCACTCCGCAAACAATTCATCAATTACGCTATCGTACGCAAATGGTTCCTGACCAAAATTAACGCGCACTTCGTTGTATGAGTCCACTCCAATTGCAGGGTACCAGCTACAGTGTGACCTCTCAATACCACTTTCCGCCACCCCATCTAGCTCCTCACCATTGTATGTAAAGAAGACATGGGATTGAGCAGCGCCCCCATTTTGACGTACTCCGCAGCCCACAATGTCATTCACGCCAAAGCGCGGTCCAAACAATTGACCCTGCATGATTTAAAAAGTAAACTTCAACATAATGTACAAGTTGCACGTAATGCTAGAAACATTGACCAAAAACTCACCCTCGTAGTTTTGCAATAGAAGCGGCCATCATCCCCGTGATAGCCATAACTTTTCTGGTTCCAGCCAGGCTGTCGTCCTACCAGTGGAAAAGTGCTAGACACAAGTCCCAAAGACGTCAGCTCCTCTTCAAAGCGGATTTGTTGTCGCTCATGTCCTTCCTGGTGTTCAGTCTCCCTCTCTCGACGCATGATCTGAATCTCAAAGTAGCCACTCGCCACAAGTCCGATCTGATATAGTGGCTTTCCAAATTCGCTAGATTTCCGACGCTGAAAAACTGCAATATGAAATCCAGATGGAAACGGAACATTTGCCCGCACAGTGCGGTCATCACCCAATTCGTCCCCATTAAACGCAAAGCTGACAACGTGCGACGGTCTCGTGTTCGTTCCATGCAGCGACTGAATCCTACAAATGTTTCCATTATCAAACTCAATGATGTCTTACATGACTTCACAATGCCAACCAAGACCATGTCTTACCGATGTTTGGCATCGCTGTAGTCCTGATACCGCGCTGTTTGGTTCAGGTCAGCGTAGGACGGCACGGGTACGATGGCATGGGTTAGCAGCTGAAATATGCGACTCTCACTCATATCATTGGGAAAGAGTAAGCGTAAATTCGGAGCGATGACAAGCAAGGCCTTGGCGTCAAGCGGAAAATTAAGCGTTGCCCAGCGCTGCATGAAGAGGCTGCGCCACAGAGTGGGAAAGCGAGGTATCACAGTCTGGCATATGACGCGAGCAGCGACAGCCAGAGCCTCAACGTCGCGTGCGCTTACAAAGCTCAGAATCTCGTGCAGAAGCACGTCGTCCAGCGCTATGAGACGACTGGATGCTCGCTTGAGTGATGGTCGGTGTGACTGGCACATTCAGAGACAATTCTCAAATGGATGCTATGAGTTTTGGGACAATCCAAGTCGGGTGATGGGGTAACAATGATATTAGAGTT